TAAACATGTAGTGTACTTTGTAAATAAAGTTTTTCATTAAACACTGACATGCTTCCTTCCACTTGCAGAAGATAACATTTAGTGTACATTGTTTTTCATTGACATTGAACTGTTTTTTTCCTTTATTTTTTGTTTGTAAATTCTACCTATGGGACCCTTGAAACTCTCACTGTGAAATCTGGAAGAAAAATGTTGAGAGTCCAGGACCCTTCATTGTGGGACCCTAGTGAGAACCCTGCTTTGTCAACAAATGTCTACATAGCATCCTGCACATTAGATGGCCTGATGTCATCATTTATTCTGACCTTTGGGAGCAGACACATCAGCTGCCTGTCCAAGAAGAAAGTGTGAAGAGAAAATAGGGTTGGATTGGTCACATGCTCAGGAAGCCTCAAAGCAATGTGACAAGACAAGTGCTAGAATGGAACCCACAGGTAAAAAAAGAAAGTGGGGAGACTAAAAATAACCTGGAGGAAATCAGTCGACGAGGAGATCAAGACTGTTGGACTCTCATGGGCTCAGCTGAGGACAGCCAAAAGTTGGGTCCAATAGCATGGAACAGTCATGGCTCCATGTTCCAGCTGGAACTAACAGGAATAAGTCAAGTAAGTTAAGAGGTTATACAAATGAAAGTTAAAACCTGTAAGATGAAAAAAGTGTTTTTAACCTTAAAATTAAAATCACCTCACACTCAGACTGACTCAGTTAAGGCTTTGTAAATTCAAAGACAAATCTTTAATAACAATACCTCATCAAAAATCTGATTTTTTGTGTAAAAAAGGCTTTTAATGTTTACTAAAAACTTGCCAAATCTTTTGAAGATACATTTAATACATTAAAAATTATAGCACATATAGTTTCCTAGTTAAATGATAGAAAATTAGTCAAAATGGCAGAGCCCATATACAGAGTTAACGACTTTCAAGAACGGAAGAAGAATAAACTATCATTTGTCTAGCCAAGTGCTTATTAAGGAACACATTTACATAGTTTGGATGACAAAACTGGAGTGAAATGTCATTACTGAATTAAAGTATAGATATAAGAAATATCTTGATTATGTGGATAAAATTAGGATTAACATGAACATTTCACATAAAAGTACAGAATATGCAAGCTTCTGCACTGATGAATGAATTTATATCACTATAAAGTTATCCACAATTAGTCTTGCATTAATTCCCAAGACATAAAATTATGACAGAGAAAGAACATCATAACAGAGTATACTGCCTCAATCAATAAAAGTGTTTGCAAATAAGAATCCAAATCAGAAACTCGCATTTTTGAATAAAATACACACTGATGGCCTTTAAGTTCTTGTAGTGTTATTCAATTACTCACCATATTGAATTGGCAGTTTGAAATCAGTCATCCTTTGCCAATAAGGTAAGTACACACACTGTATTAGTGTTTTATGTGTAATATAATAAAAAATTGTTCATTTTGTATTTCACTTTGTGTCTGTCATTCCTTCTCATGACTCAATTACTTTGAGATATAACATTACTTCATAATTGGTATCTTTATTGAATCTCCTGTTATTAGGCAGACCTATCCATTGCAGTAAAGGTAATTCTGTTTTATCTGGATATACCACAAAATAAAAAGAGGGAGAAAGTTTTGGTGTTGCAATCAAGACATCATATTGGAGAGTTTGTTCTTCTGCTGAAATGTAAAGTGCCTTTTTATTTCAACTCTTAGGCTTTAGATTTAAGAAAACTTCTTAATGAAAGTAAAGAACATTTTCTGCAACTAGAAGGATTCATGACAAGAGAGATAGCCAGCCACTGAGGGGAGATGGATATTCGAGAGGATTACCAGATCTAAGAGAAGACCTCTTCTGAACATCACTCTTACCAATTCTACAAAAGTCTACGACTTCTATTTCACTATAGCCAATGATATAGAAAGAAGAGCTGCTGATGTCTGGTGATCCCTTGTATGCCACATGTAACATGTGTTGCTTTGTAATGCACAGAATACAAGGTCTGTGCTTGTAAAAATTCTAATTTAACCCCTTACCTACCAGAGCCATTTTGTCTTATCACGAGTGCAAAATCACATTTGTGAATTGAAAAAATTACAGAGAACTTATCTTTTACTGGATTTCAGATTTTATTTTTGTAAATAGTAGCATAACATTCACTTATTTGTACTAAACTGTATTATTTAATGAAGTTTGAAGAGAAATTTAATAAAAAGAAATCCCAAAATACATTTGAGACTAAATAAGTGCCTTCTAAGAATAACATTTTTTTTAAAGATTTTTAAAATTTTTTCCTTGCACTTTATCACTGGACCTGCCATCTATGATTGGTATTTAAACCTTTTTGTAGTCTGTTTTCTTTATACAACAGCGTCTGGGCATGGTAAACTTTGGTTGTAAAACTTTCAGTCATTCCTAATCAAAGGTATCAATTTCAGTACCATGTTATT